TTTGTTGAACTTAATTTCATAAATTTCAATAATGAGAACTTTACTTTAAATACTTATTCACAAACTGAATTTGATTTTTTTAATATCTGAAGCTATAGGCACTCTGCACGCCTTGTTCACCCATCTTCTTTGAAATAATTCGATCTGCTTTATATACACATGTACATTAATCACAAGACATAAGATTCTCGAACATAAAAAAAATCATTAATGTAAAATCTCATAAAAAAGACACTTGCAGTTTTATGTTATCGTCTTTTTAGTTTGGAGATCATTGTTTGAAAATAATTTAAGACAACAAAGTATAAACTGAAGAAAAAAAACACATTATATTTATTTATTTTCTGAATAGCAACATATTTACACCAATTAATCTTATCACTAACACACGAAGAGGCACTGCCACATGGTCTATACCACAGTATTAAATGTTAGTATCATATTTAAAAGAGCAATAACTCAATTTTCTCTTAGAATTAGTAACAAATTTAAAGTGTTTGGTTCATTTTGGTAAAACAATTATTTTATGTATACATAATCCACTGGTAACAAATGATTTAAAATGATTAGAAACTTTGTATACATTTTAAAGTAAATTGATTAATATTTGTCTTTACAAAATGCTTACTTGAAAAAAAAAAAGACGCTTTGTTAAAAAAAAATTAACTACCATTAAATGTTGATAAGTTTTGTCCAGACCGGTTGAGAAATTGAGAATTTAATTTAAGAGCTAAATAATTGTGTTACAGTATTCGAGCTCAAAAGTCCATTAAACAATACAAATTTTGGAGCAGAGCAAACACAGACCTCAAAAACATCAGAGATGGGATCAGGTGCCATGGAGGAGTGAGCATCCCCTGCCGACCGGTCACACCCGCCGTGTGCTCCTTGTCATGATCGGGAAATAACGGAAAAATCTGTCAAAAATTCAGTGTGTAAATAATGGCCTAACTATTAGTATGAAAAAAGTCAGTCAGCATTTGACTCAATGATAAATTGTATTTGCATGACAAGGTCATTGTATCGACCATAGAACTTACGAAATGGTTACTTTAAACGAGACTGTTGATATTCTTGTTTCATCAACTTGTTTGTCAATAACTTACCTCGTTTTAGAAATTGTTCATACGTAGAGCATGCTCTGGCGTATCGAATCAACTGACAGATATAAACCCCGTATGCAGGTGATGAGGGTATATTGCTACATAGGTAAGGGAAGTTGACGATTGAAAAGATAAAGTCATCACGTTTATCATAAAGCTTGGTTGTTAGATTAACATTAACGTCTTTTTGTAGTAATTTAATATCCAAATATGAAACAGATGTGTCAGACTCTGTGGTATCTTTTATCTCAAGCTCACCGGGATATATCGTGTCGACATATGAATGGAAATAACCATTGTTTATTGACAATACGTCGTCAATATATCTAAATGTCGAGTTGAAGGCCACAGCAAGTGTTTTCTTCTTTTCACGTAAAAGATTTTGAACACATTCTGCTTCATATGAAAACAAAAATAGGTCTGCTAATAACGGGGCACAATTGGTACCCAGGGAATTCCAATAGATTGTTGGAAGGCGTAAAGCATAGAAAAAAAAACCCAAACATTTCTGAAATTTCTAAACAAGAGGGAATTCCAAAAATCCTGGAAATTGAGAAATTAAACTCAATCAAATATTTAATATTTATTTAATATCTGAATATATATAATGCTATGTGCCTCTCAGACCCTTGATTTTACTTTTGTAGAAGCATAAATCACAAATGGTAGTGCAAAAGAGATGGTCATTCTTTGTGCCTGGGAAGATAGTATAAACCTTTTGTTGAAGTACTGGAATTTCAAACATAGATGTATTGAAGAATTCAGCTGTCAGTGTTTTGTATGTTGGAGGACAACCACCCCTTGATTTCAAATATGAAGTGAAGAATGTCCATCTTTATAATAAGGACTTTTCCCTTATATAAATATTTTTTGGTAAAAAATTACTTAATATCTTCTTTTGAAAGAAAATGACTCTTATAATGTGTCAATGTCGCAGGACTTTAAAATCTGCAACAGTTGTGTTGATTATATTAGTTTGACCCTGTGTTTCATGATTGTATCATTACTTTCATCAGTGTAGCATTTATTGTAAATCTGAAAACCGGGTACTGTAAAAAACTTCTTGTATTAAAAGGTTTTTATCACGTCTCAAAACTTTTTGATATGACAAAGTTTACATGTTAATTAAATCATATATCTAAAATTCTTTGCTAGAAAATTAATATTTTTAATGTTTCAGCGATTCAAAGTTTGAATTTCTCAATATGCATATTTTGATCGCCGATGTTACGCGCCATTGCTCTGACGTCATAGGTGTCAATCCTGGTCAAGCGAAGTGTATATGTTTGTGTATACAAAAAGGCTCATTTGTTGCGTCTATTAAACCTGTTAGAAAATGATTAAGTAATAATTTGATAGTTGAAAGCTATTAAGATATAATTTGTGGCTTTCGGAAGAACAAATGTGCACAAGAAAGGTTTTAGGAAGATTTTTTTCAACATTTCCTGGACTTGGTCGAGAGATGAAAAGGGGGGGGGGGCTTTTTCTGCAAACGCAACGGCGTTTATCTCCATTCAGAACAGGCGTTTATGCCCGATCTCGAATTTTCTATACTATAAAATATTTTAAGGAAAAGATACCTTTTTAATTAAAAATAAATGTCCAATATGCATTTTTTAAAAGTTGCACAGAATCTAGTAGGAATTTTGTGAACTTCGTGATGGCGTACGGCGCCATTGAAGAAGTGTCACTTCTAGTACATGATTCACTGCTGGAACAGATAGAAGATATTCAGGATTTATTTATATTTAAACAATTGAAATAATGAAGAAGGAGAATTTAAAATTCACATATTTTAGATATTTACGAAGTTAAACTTCAGTAATTCGTTCTATTTAGTAGTCCTGAGTTGTCAACGGCTTCGTCTTCGTTACCTCTCCAAATGTCGGCATATTTTCTGGTTATTTCTCTCTGCTAGACATTCATGCATAAAATATTTACCGTCCAAAATCGAAGGAATGTGGCCGATGTCAAAATTTCCACCGGCCATATTGTGTAGTCTATTTATTTAACGTAAAAATCTATTTTTTCTTACGATAAGCTTTACTAGTTCTAATTGACCATTGACACCTACATGACGTTTCAGTACCACGTGACCCCTATCTAATTAGTGGAGATTTTTACTTCGAGGACCGTATATTACGGGCGTTTTATTGTCTAATTACGACAGTTTTCAAATTTTTTTCATAATTAAACGATAATTATGTGCTTCAAGAATATAATAGTGTTTCATTTTAAAGAAAGGAGTATTCTGCTTAAGTATAGTAGTGTGGTCCTTTTTTACATCCTTGGTTTACCGGGTAAATATTAGCATACGGTACTTTGTTTGTTTTCATTGTTTATAACGAAGTATTTCTAATTAAAACATTGTGTATTGATCATGAATAATTAAACATATCAAAAAATACAAGCCTATTTTTAACACCTATTGCACTAAAAAATGCCGGAACATTTCCCCCCGATCAGACGACGGTTTCTCTATTACATGGAAATGGGCGGAGACATTTAGATTAGATACTATAAAAAAAAGATCTCGGTATGATATTTTTCTTTCAAAGACGAATTATATGTTCAAGATTCACAATCAACTACAAATACACAATTTTCTATTTTATACAAAACTTTGGCAATAAAAACTATAACAAGATGAACCAAACAATTAATGCTGATCGATATAAAACTGAGTACGTTTCAACTGAAAACTAGCATGTTTACTGGAGGCATTTACCCGTAACGATACAAATCCACGTGGCTTGTTATGATTCAAAACAGGTCATAAAGAGGTTAATCGCATGTAAATGAAGTCAGCGAAGAGATTCAAAATCACAATACTTTTAATTAGAAAACATAGAGCACAAGGTTGTTCAACAAAGATATTTTCACTCAACCTTTACACATATAATATACACATTATATTTCAAACTCGACTCTGAACAAACCTGTGCTCGGTGCCGTTTACGAAAGCTTTGAAATGTGAAGCTGTCATTGATTTCTTTTGATATTCATGAATATCAAAGGACCCTACCTTCAACGCGCAGCTTTGTATGCTGTCTATATCTATTGTTTGACATTTATAGATGATGATTCAAATAATAAAGACATTAATTAATAATAAAATTCAATTTTTAAAAATTTTAATAAATGTTTGAAATATGACGAGTAACCGGGAACCACAGATAAGCCTTATTGAGACTTGTTCTTTAGATAAGTGATAAAAACCCTTTAAGATTACATTTTTGTTTTTGCTTTCTATATTTGAAATGCTTGTGTCAATTATGAAATATTTACGGACAAAAAAAATTGACATTGACTTTCTAAAAATTCATTCTCTTGTACTGTTTATTGGCTTACTACACTTCAAACTGGAAGACATTTTTTATACAAAGTATAATACTAGTAATTGATTATAAAAAAAAATTGTAAAAGGAATACTTTCTGTAAACACAATTGTAAAAGGAATACTTGCTGTAAACACAATAAGTCAAAAATTGTGGTTTTAATACACTTTATGATAGTTGTGCAAGTGCATTTCATTTGTTAAAATAAGGTAGCAATGCTCAATAAATGTATTACTTGTATAATTATACAGTAAAAAGAAAGAAATATTGTTTTCTTATAATATCACAAAGTATTATTTGTTAATTGGATTTTAAAATACATTGCATCATGTCATGAATTTCATAAGAAATCAAATGAAAATATAAATTTCTGTTTCTAAATAGAATTTCAATTTTTCATCACTAAAGCAATACATTAGCTAAGCTTGGACTATCAACTCGTATCAGTACTTTCAGTACTTTGATATATATCTGAAGCTATACTAAGTCATTCTGCACGCCTTCGTTACCCCATCTCCTTATTTATAGTTATTACAGAAACATGTTTACCTTTTCTTACTTTCTCTTTCTCCTCCTCTATCTCTGCCATCGAATGTATATTTTCCTGGTCGTATTTTGTTGATGATAAATGAATGTCAACTTGATAATCACGTGCATATTTGATCAAGTGTTGATATGTTGATAGGGTGGTACAGATAACGGGAGACTTTATCTATATAGAATATTTTTTTTTATTTTCTGCCCGTCTTATTGTATTCATAATACTAGTGTACAATTATGCATTGATTTCAAAAGCGCTCGGTTTCAAGTTTTGTTTGTCTGTACGTATTTTTTCCCCACTCAATTACGAAAAATGTAATATTTTTTCCATTCGGAATTATTTGGTCTACGAAAGATTCTAAATTTAGTCCACTGCAGACAATATCCTTTTTGAAAAATGCACATGGGTATTGAACTGTGTAACACTTGACTGACTTGTAGAATATTTCATATATTTAACACTTGTTAAATGGATGTTTTCTCAGCAATAGAAGGATTTAGAAATATTTCCTCTGGTTTGAAAGGTGAAACATCACTTGAATTTCTGAAATGGGTCAAAGATAATGTAGATGGTGAGTTAACTTAAACCAGCTGTAGACATATAGTTTATACAGTGTTATATATATGCAGTCGATGATATGCACAGGATGAAATTACACAATTCAGTCGACGGAATGATAACTGAAAGGTCACTGAAAAGATCCCTTCCCGTGACTTTTCCTTGGTCTTTCAGTCGACTGAACGGCAGATACATTTCAGTGGCCTTTCAGTTATCTTTCAGTTGTATCTTTTTATTGAATAATGGGCTTATTTTTTAACTTGGAAATTTTATTTCATGTTTTTGTATTATAATGGTATTAAATAAATCTATTTACGAATAAAAAAAAAATGAAAAAAAGTAAATATAAGAAAAAAAATTATTGCAGATAGTAGTGGTCGAACCGCGGCCTCCCTCCTGATAGTCCGTGACTTTATCCATTACGCCACGGAGTCTTGTTGAATTACAGTGATTAAAAATCATTAATTATTTTGTAGAAATCGAATTGGGGCACCCAGTTCACCTGTTGTATCGAGGAGCTGGGAATGTGTATATATCTTGTATACATTTTGTATATTCTATGTTAATTGTGCGGATTTTTGGGGCTGACTAATTAATTACACATCTCTTATTGGGAATATGATAATTATCGGTGATGGGCACCTGGTTTTTTTTCAAAGAAATGATTTAAGATGGATCTTCACCTCGGAAAACGTTGTAAATTCTTAAAACGATATATTTTAACATGCTAAATTATCGTGCGATTTTAACAATCAAGAAACAAATTCACAATATTAAGGTTCATGAATTTATTAATGCTATTAATAGCTACTTAGGTAGAAATGGTCTTTGGAGTCTTTGGACTGGACCTGATAACTTACTTCTATTTTATTTGTCTCTGTTCACACAAACATAAATAGAATATTTGACTCTGGTCCACCATTTATACACAGAAATTGATGTTTTGTATACATGTATTTCTTGCGTAAGATATTTTGTATTAAAGCTGGAGTATGTTGACCTGGTAGCTCAGTGCACCTGCACTATAAGCGTCATAAGCAGAAGCTGTTCTGGCTTTAATTCCAAGTCGGGCTGAGACTTCTCTTGCCTTTTATATTGTAACACTTACAAGTTTTGATTGACCTAATTAGATTATTTATTTATTTTTAGATCTTATTGAGAAACAGATTAAATCTTCACAGAGTAATAGTGAAGTTGTCCTGCAATCCATAAGAGAGGACCTTAGATCTCTCCTTCCTCTGAATGGGGTCACTCCAACAGAGAATATCTACACCCCTACTGTTGGTCCAGTAAGTAGAGATATTTATTATACCTTTTTATTCAAGTTTAAAGTGTTATTGTCAAATCAGATGATTTTAGGTAACTGGTTACTTGATTACCTTTTTGATCAAGAACCCAGTTAATTAGATGATTCTTTATGAGATCTCTAAACATCTTTGCTCATGGTGTATACTGAATAGTACCTGTATTTTATGTAATGTTAGTGTTGTCAAATCGGTTGAAAATCTGAATTGGTTAATCAGCTACATCGGTTGACTCTAATCAAATGATGATCAACTAATAATTGAATTGGTAACCATTTGTATAAAATAGGCACTAAACTTTATATACAATGTAGAAACAATGTAGAATGTTAAATAAATCTCATTTTGTATGTTATAGAATGCAGATTGTGACCGTCTCAGCACTGAACACATAGATGCTTTCTGTTATGATGATGATGACATAGATGATTTGTGTGATGAGGGACAGATGAGCAGAAACTACTGCACAGACTGCGGATCAAGAAATGTTCGACCTCTAAGTATGTTGAACATTGGTTCATTTTCAATATACAGTAAAACATTCTCATAGTGTATTGCTAGGGTTCAACAATTTTGATTTTTAATTGTATTTTGTTATATCTGTAAGTTCACAATATCTTTTAAAACCATGAGGAATGAAAATCACTTCACTGTAAGCATGAATTCATTATAAATGTTTTTGCTATAATTGTGTTGTATGGAAATTTACAATTTCTAGTAAGGTTGTATTAAATCATGACATTTAGAAGGGATACTACTTTTTTCAGCTCTTATTACCCACTCTGCATCTGTAAAACAGATTAAGTATATGTTCCAACACTTACTGGGGGATCTTAGGGGAAAAACTGTGGTAGATGTGGGGTCCAGAACAGGGGCCATACTGTATGGGGTAGGTTCTTGAACTAAAATGTGATCTTCCTTGTATTTCTTTTGAGAAATTGTATTTAGAAATGTCTTAAACATACACACCCTCCCTCACCCTCGCACACACATAATATATTTCTGTTGTTTGAATTTCTTCACCTGTAAGTAAGTTGTTTTTTTTTTTGGTTCAAGGCCTACCTGATGAGTAATGCCAGCTGTATAGTGGGAGTGGAAATTGACCAGACATTTTGTCATATTCAGAATCAGATCATCTCCAAGTATCACTTACAAGACAGAGTTCAGGTAATAATACTGCTGCTTGTAAATTTAAGGCCAGGAATGAAGCTAGTACATGCTCTTTTTCATGACATGGAAAAATATTAATAAAATCAATGAAATTTTAGATACATCAACAAGACGTACAACAGTGTGGAAACCTAATTCAACAAGGTAAGATACTGGGCAACTTATTTGAATAACTTTTTATTTGCGAGAACTTTATTTTTGGATAATTACTTGAGACTGTCTGCTCATGAAAATATCTCTCTCGTTTATGTTTGTATTTAATATTAAAGATTATATTCATTAACCAAAATGTGTGATAAATTTTTCTTGCTTACCAATAACATTTTTCGAAACAAAATTGATGATTTACAAATTATATTCTTTGTAATAAAGCAGTTTGAAGAATTTCTTCAAGAACTCTATGGTATAGCCAGTCAGACATATATAATAGTATCACCTATGACTTTCCAAGATAACAAATGGAAAACTCTCAATATGTTCATCTGATGTATTTATTCATTTATTAAAACTAAATTTGTAAAATGATCACCACTTGCTAAAAACTAAAGAATATTTCAATATTCATGTGTAAAGCAGTAGAATTTTTATTTCTTGATACTCCAAAACTTGTTCTTTCTTAAATAGCTGATGTGCTGATCCTTAACAATGTATTTGAATTTTTTATGCCTTTGGACATGCAGAAAAGGTAATGTTGTGTAAATGACAATCAAATCTCTCTCTCTCTCTCTCTCTCTCTCTCTCTCTCTCTCTCTCTCTCTCACACACACACACACAAATTTAGCGCTTATCATTTCCTGAAAGTGCAATACAGATCAAAAGTAAATTTTCAATACAGATCAAAAGTAAAATATTCAATACAGATCAAAAGTAAAATTTTCAAGGCATATCAAAAGTAAAATTTTCAAGACTGATCAAAAGTAAAATTTTCAACACAGATCAAAAGTAAAATTTTCGATACATATCAAAAGTAAATTTACAAGACAGATCAAAAGTAAGTTTCAAGCCAGATCAAAAGTAAAAGTTTTAAGACAGATAAAAAGTAAATGTGAAATACGTAAAAAAGTAAAATGTGTCCATATTTCCAAAACAAATAAATTTCTACCCCCACCCCTCAAATAAAATGTACATGTATATGTTGTGCACGTGCAAGACATGAATTATGCCCTTTTACTGCAGCAATTTCCAAATATGTTGAAAACACAGTTTCAATTTTCAGATACTTTTGTAAAAGTGAAATTTTTTTTTTTAATTCAATAAGACAGCATATTGCACTTTCTCCTGTAATTCCATAATATGAACAAGATGTGTTTGTGAAACACTAATGCCCCATACAGCAGCTCAAACTTGGGTTAAAGTTTTTCAAGTGTGGAGTGAACTCCAAGGTCAAGGTTTAAAGACTAGTTCAAAACTTTTGTCACCCAAAGAAGGATGGCACAGAAAAACCATTCGAAAAATATGGCTAAGGATAAAGTTTTTCAAAAGTTGATCATACTCCTAGGTCATGAGGTCAAAAATATTGGAACCAAAGGAAAGGTCTTGTCACAAGAAATACACAAGTGAAATATGAAAGCCACTAGCACCAACCATTCAAAAGTTATATGAGCAAGGCTAAATTTTTTTTCAAATTTAGGTCATATTCAAAGTTCAAGGTCATGAAGGCAAATATGTTGGTACATGTACCCAAAGAAAGGTCTTGTCAAAAAGAATAGACATGATATATGAAAGTGTTAGCTTCAACCGTTAAGAGGTTATGGCCAAGGTTAAAGGCTTTCAAAAGTAGGTCAAACTCAAGATCAAGGTCAAAATGTTCGTACCTAAAGAAAGGTCTTGTCACTTAAAATACACTTCTTAAATATAAAAACCTTAGCACTAACTCTTAAAAAGTTTATGCCCAGGTTTAAGTTTGGTATAAAAGGTTTACAAAAGTATAGGTCAAACTCCAAGGTCAAGAGGTCAAATATATTAGTACCCTAAGAAAGGACTTGTCAGGGCAAATACATGTGAAATGTTAAAACCTTAGCATCAGCCATTCAAAAGTTATGGGCAAGGTTAAAGTTTTTGCAGACAGATTAACAGATAGATAGACAGATGGACAGACCAAAATGTATATGCTCTGAATCTTCAATTATGGGGTATAAAAACTTGAGTAATGAGGTTAAGATCTTTATTACATTTTTAATGAAATGGAAATAAAAAAATAACAATTTATTATATACATGACTATAGTTTAATTTATAAAGAGTTACATGCAATTTTATAAGAAATAAATCTGTCAAAATATTTTCTATTACAATGTATGTATAATGCATAGAAAAATCTGAAAATCATATTTAAATTAGAAGGGTTGTCCAAAAACAGTTAGCTAGTCTCTAATACTAGTATATCCTCTATATACAGAATATTATTTAAGTTTCTCTCTGATTTTCAGTATATGGCATTTTTTATACCAGAACATGAGGAAGAAAGGAAGCTATATTGTGACAGTGCCCAGTATTACTGAGTCCTTACAGACAATACAGGTGGGCTGTAGTAACATTTTCTTTTGTACAACCTAATTAAAAAATACTTTTGACTGTCTTGCAACACAGAGCATCTTACAACATCACATCTTTTGACAAATCTTTTCTCAGATAAATGGGTTCAAAAACTTATCCCTATTTCAAATAAAAAAAAGTTGATCACCACCATAAATTTTGTTTCATCCAAATAATGAGATACTTGAAATATGAGAAAATGGATGCATAAATTATAATAAAAATTTAAAAATAAAACAAGATGGGTTTGTGAAACACTGATGTCCCTTTATGGCAGTCCAAGGTCAAGTATAAAGTTTATCAAATGTAGGTCAGGCTCTAAGGTCAAGAGTTCAGAAATGTTGGTATCCAAAGGAAGGTCTTGTCACAAGGAATACTCATGTGAAATATGAAGGCCCTAGCACCAACTGTTCAAAAGTAATAGGCAAGATTAAAGTTCTTACAAATGTAGGTCAATGCGAAATGTCATAGTCAGGAGGTCAAAAATGTTGGTAGGCAGAGAAAGATCTTTTCAGGAATATACATGTGATATTTGAAAGCAGTAAAATAACCATTCCATAGTTATGGCCAAGGTTAAAGTTTCTCAAAAGTAAGCCAAATTCAAGGTTATGGTTAATATTCAAAAAAGGTCTGGTCACATGGATTACACATGAAATATGAAAACCTTAGCACTAACCGTTCAAAAGTTAAGCCCAAGGATAAAGTTTGGTAAAGCTTTTGCAAAAGTAGGTGAAACTCAAGGGTCAAGGTCTGATGGTACCCAAAGAAAGGGCTCAGCACAAGGAAAACACATGTAAAATATGAAAGCACCAGCACCAAGAATTCAAAAGTTATGCTAAGGTTAAAGTTTTTGCGGACAAACAGAATAAAAGACAAACAGACAGACAGAGGACACAACAAAAACTATATGCCCCCAAATGTTCGATTACGGGGGCATAAAAAGACACTTTTGTCCCTTTTCTTTTTGATTTTGCAAAGTTCTATACAAGTATTTAACGTTAGCGGTCATTTACGGGTCCTTGAATACAATCAAAAAGCATATCAGATCAAATACATAGACAGATCTGCAGATGCCAGTTTGTCGTATTTGACAGTTTTGTTTCAATGTTCTTAAGCAAAAATTTATTGTGGTACAAGTTTCTCAATACACTTTGCTACAATAAACAAGATAAAGCAGTTTTTGAACCATCTTCAAGGCAAAAAGAAAGATCAAGAGCTTAAAAAAATCATGGTTCAGGCTGGACAAGCAATATCTCGACAAGTGACTCAAGTATCTAGAGTACACTACGGCACCATGGTGAGACTGGATCCCCCCCCCCCCCAAATACAACTAATAACGGCACAGGATCGTTATCTGACAAATATAATGTGCCGTTAAGAAGTCTGCAAAATAGGCTCCATAGGGCTGCAGACGTTACTGAATCGACCAAATGACTAGAAATAGCGCGTGGACCAGCGGTTGAAGAATTCTTTACACACAGACACCACCAAGTCTGGATGGATTAATGTCGATTCATTGGAATTTACATCAGACGAATCTTGATTCAGTGTTAAATTCAACAATGGCTCCATCCATATTTGCAGACATGGGTGAGAGCGACTTTCAGACGTGAACATGAGGAAACATCGTTACAGTGGGGGCTCTGTAATTGATGAGTAACTACTAGTATGTATTTTAGAATTCAAGCATTGAATTTAAAGGACGTGTTTTTTTTTTTGATGTCTAGAATACAAGAATAGGCTGCGTCCAAGATCATAGTGACTAGGTGTACGTATAGCCCCTAGGCTTAGCTGCGTCCAAGATCATAGTGACTAGGTATACGTACAATGTATAGCCCCTATTTTGAACGATATGCTGGCTAGGGATAACAAGCGTTAATTTATATAGTGTGTCCAATAGATCTGGATATCTAGCCTAGCAGCTAGGTCTTTAACGCAGCCCTGGTGTAACAGATTATGGGCGCACTCTGTAGACATCATTGACGGAACTTTGATATCCATTGCTTGATGCTATTTTGTGGCCTCTTGATTTGCCGTCTCGAGAAAATTGGACGCCATTTTGTACTTCAAGATGGTTGTATGTTCGTTCGCCCTAAAACTTGTTCGCCCTTGACGCCGTTCGCCCTCATTCCCGTTCGCCCAGAGTCCGATCGCCCTAAAACTTGTTCGCACAGGGTCCGTTCGCCCTATTTATATTGCAGAAAGTTGAATAATGAAGCAATGGATTTTTTAAATAAATTAAAATTATATACAGTACATTGGTACATAAATTGCACACGGGAGACAACAGAAGTATCCTCGAGGAACCTATTTCGGTGGTATTAGCAAACTACGTGATAAAATAATCTTAACGAGATCGAATAAAATAAAATAAATGTGACTTACCTCTGAAGGACTCTTTATTTGATCAAATTATATCCATATTATCTAATAAAAAAAACTGAATTTTTTTTTCTCGCGATTTCTTTATTCCTTGCCGTTTACGTAAGCAGAAATGTTGAGGTACCTAAATCGGTGGTATGGTACTTGTCAAAAGTTTTTACCCTAATAACACCAACCAAAGGCATAAATTTATGTATAACGAATATTAATTTGTATAAATGAACAAAGGGATAAATTACAATTTTATAAAGTTTTATTTATTATTATGGCAGGGACAGATAAATTCGTCACCCCGTCTAATTACTTTAGTTGCGCAACAAAACTGCAAGTGGGTCCAATGGTCGCATTTTTCAAAGCTACACTGAGCCCACTTTACAAAAACAACTAAGTCGCAGTCCTTAATCTCCTCTGGCCAAAAGTGTTTACAAACACAGCACTTCTCTTTTTCATCTTCTGTGTCATCGGCATCAGAGGATTCAGGCTGTTCAGACACACCGTGTTTTCTTTTCTTTCTGCATAAATCCTTACATGTAGAAGTCGTTTTTTCTTTTCTTTTTGATGTTTGTTTTGTTGTAGAATAATTTTTTATTTCTTGCAAAACACTGTCCTCTGTAATTGGTTTACCACTTACAACTTTGCTAATGTTTCTTTTTTCAGTTAGAACAGATTTTGTTTTGTTGAAAATTGGGTTTGTATGTAGTTTAAAGAAGGATTTGGGATCAGAGGTGCTTGGAATTGCTTGAGTTGAAGAACTTGCATCTTGGTCTGGATATTGTTCTGCTGCGGAAAAAACTATAGAAGGAGCAAAATTGGAAGGGTCCACTGCATTTTTATCGAATGGGAAAATTCCAGCGCGTCGAAATGAGGACTGCAAATTTCCTTGTGAAAGAGCATGTGCATACGCTTTACAAGCTAATGAGCAAATATTATATCTTGTAATTTTTGAAGATGGATTCTCACGTAAAAATTTATGGCACTCGGCATTATAGATTTCTTGAAATGGGCCAAAACATCCAAGGTCTAGAGGTTGAAGAACATGGCTTGTATGGGCAGGCAGAACAAATAAAACAATATTATGTTGCTTTGCCCAGTCAACAAGCGTGAGGTTAATGTGTGATCTGTGTCCGTCGTAAAGAATTAGGATAGGTTGGTTTTCATTCGGTCTTTGGACATATTTAAGAAAATGTTCAGATAAATAAGTCTGAAAGACTTCAGAGTTCGACCAACCACTGTCTGTTACTGTGCCTTGAGCACCCTCCGATGCACCTTCCATCAATTCCTGTCTCATTCGAGCCCCTTGGAAAACGAAATACGGAGGCATCTGTGTACCTAACGCATTGCCACAACCTATGACAGTTACTGTAGAAGATCTGGCAGATGTTATAGCAGGTGTTGTTGACATCTTAGAGCCCACAATGCAGGGTGGTCTGTGTTCTGTTTGTAACCCCTTTTCATCAATGTTGTATATGCACTGAGGTTTATCGACTAGGTCGTACTTCTTAAGAATGGTGTCTAATTCTCGATAGTAATTTGACACTACTTCTTCAGAGGTTGACTTTGCCCTGGCAGCTGATAATGCGCGAGGCTTTGAAACATTCAGTTCTGGCCACCGCATCATAAAGCCTTTGAACCACTTCATTGAAAATGGATGATTTCTGTCACGTTTCTGCAAACTGCAGGCATATTCTGAGGCCATGTTGACTACTTCTGATCTAGTGTAGCCGTAGCCACAACTAGCCATAACCTTTAAATGGTCAACAAATGCAGCTTCTTCCTCTAGCGAAAGAACAGGAGAAACTCCAGACGTTAGTTTCTCAGGGTCAACTCTCCCCAATGCTCTTTGTCGAAGTGTGGTTTCCGGAACACAGTAAACCCTAGCTGCTTTCCATACAGACATCTGATGCTCCTTAATAGCATGATAAGCATTTGTCATGGACGTAGGGGAGTATGGTCTGTATTTTCTTGTTATTTTATCTGATGCAATCTATAAAAAAAATTATTTATTTACTGTTCTTTTTTTTTTTATTTATTTATTATTTATTTATTTACTAGTATTTATTTATTTATTTTATTTATTTTATCTACATGATACTACATACTTTTAATAGTTTTCTTTAGATTTCAGAACTAATTTCTATGTAATTGTTTAATTACTAGCTATTTACCAACAACATAATATAAACCATATCTTTGTCAAAACACTCAAAAACATATAACAGACACTGACTTTTGGACGTACCCTGTATTTCTACTTAATTATGATAACCACATGACAGTCACGTGACTTGAAAGCGCAGACGGTAAGCTGCGTCTAGAGTTCGTATTTTGATAAAATATTTCTTAAAAGTCTATATTTAGAAGGCAATTACATTTGGATATTTTTAGCATTAAGAAAATATGGTATTTTATGTAGATATGACAATAACAGCTATTTACTTACACTTTTCTCTGACATTTCGAGTTTTTTTTCACTGAGTCATACGCTTCCGTGTTTACAAACACTACGCAAAAATCGATGACGTCAGATCTCGCACTATAAGAAAACGCGCGTGCCCAACGGGAAATACCACCGATTTAGGAACCCCACCGATTTAGGACCCTCGACGATATGCATGTGGTCACACTATAAAATAAATACCTGTCCTATCAAAGACCCGGCAGACCAACAGAAATTAACGTCTCAGTCCTTTAATTGTTTTCAAAACATAACGCAGATTGTATGATCCCCTAAATTACAGTGACATTATATTAAGTATAAAATTTTAAATAAATATCAAATTTGAATTATTTAATTAAGATTACGGTAAATAAAAAAAAATTCTGTAGCAACATTTGAAAAAAAACACCAAGTCGTAAAATATTGAATAAAATTAATAATAAATGTTGATATTTACTATATACTATATATATAATAGGGCGAACGAGATATAGGGCGAACAAGAATAACGGCGAACGGACCCTGCGCGAACGGACTCATGCGAACAGGTAGATAGGGCGAACGAACCTGATACCCTTCAAGATGACAGCACAAGATCACACAGAGCGCGAAGGTTCTACGCAGTTGCACTGCTCCGCGAAACGAAACCTCAGCAACAAGAACTGGACAGTATTTCACAAGGCGGAATTTTGACGGTGTGTGCAAAGTATACAAAGACGATGTGACATATGCGAAGACAATGTATCGCCAGCATTGCAGTAAATGAGAGATATATGTACATTTCACTAAGACTACACCGTCAGCTTGTGACTTCAAAAAACCGTGCCATTTTGTGATGCCAGATTTTGATTCACATTCCAAGCGTATATAAATACATATTTAACTGTTCGTTATCTTCATACAATGTATTTCTTGCAATAAAATATCAAATGGAACTTTGAATACAAGAGCTTAATAAGACTTCGTTTTATTGTGTGATTGTTGAAAAAGAAATTGCTATACTATTTTTTTTTCTTTGGTGCTAAACATTTTAACCAATATACTTCAACATATGATTTTATTTTTGTTGTAGCTACCATTAGACTTGGGATCGTGGATACAAGAGATTCCTACAGGGGAGATAACCGGAAAAGCTAATCTTTTACTGTATGGCAATCAAGATTCTGAGGATTCAGAACTTCTACAAATCCATCTGTATCAAGTCGTTTGATCAGACACCTGGTAAACCACCAGAGTCTCCTGAACTCACAAATGCTTAAACCTGAAACAACTCATTTGAACTCACAGTTTCAGCAGGGACTTATATAGTATATAGGTCCCTGGTTTCAGAAGATCTTTTTGTATCTAGTTATTTGTCCAGTCAAGTGAGCTTACAGTGGCTACAATACATGTCTTTATGTAAAAAAAAAGAAATACATATACTGTATATAAATTCGAACCAGCAGATGATGTATAAATCAAAACCTATAGATCATATCATCATAACTATGTCATATGATTCATATAAAACAGTGCACTGCCAAGATTAGAAAAAATCATTTTCAGCTGCTTCTGATATTTATACCCACACATTCTAAAGAAAGTTTGGGTATATTATTGTTATCCTGGTCTGACCGTCAGTCCATCACACTATCTTCTTCTTCAAACTATTACTTTTCAAGGAGTATCCAGGTAGCAAAATCTTCTTTTGGAGTATAATTTGTGGTGCTTAAAACATGTGCAAAAAGATTTGAAATTTTAAACTTCGACCCTGGAGGCTAAATGAGGAAAAGGGTCATTTTTCTACCAAAAATCCCCTGGTTCCCTGAATTACTTTTATATTTTTTGCAGTAGCCCATTCATCTTTTGGAATATGGTTGAGAGTGTCCTGTAGATGTGCAGTAAGGTTTCAGAATTTCAATTTTCAACGTGGGGGTCAGTAAAACAAAAGACGTTTTTCCATTAAAAAAGACTGACTCCCTGAATTCCCCTTACGTTTTCTGCAGTTATCTTTTGGAATTGATCGTAGGTGTCCTGTAGATGTGCAATTTTGAAATTTTGATTTTCACTGTGGGGGTCAAGATGAAATATGGAGATAGCGAACTGAATTCAAGCTTGAAGTCCAGTAAACAATACAAATTTTGGAGCAGAGCAAACACAGACCTCTAAAACATCAGAGATGGGATCAGGTGCCATGGAGGAGTGAGCATCCCCTGCCGACCGGTCACACCCGCCGTGTGCTCCTTGTCATGATCGGGAAATAACGGAAAAATCCCTCAGCAATTCTGTGTGTAAATAATGTACTAACAATTAGTATGCATATGACTTAATGATAGATTGTATTTGCTGACAAGGTCATTGTGTCGACCATAGAACTTGCGAAATGTTGACTTCAAACGAGACTGTTGACATCCTTGTTTCATCAACTTGTTTGTCAATAGCTTGCCTCGTTTTAGAAATTGTTCGGACGTAGTGCACGCTTTTACGTATCGAATCAACTGAGAGACAAACTCCATATGCAGGTGATAAGGGTATATTGCTACATAAATAAGGGAAGTTGACAATAGAAGAATTGAAGCCATCATGTTTATCATTAAGTTTTGTTGTTAGGTTACCATTAACGTCTTTTTCTAGTATGAAACAGATGTGTCAGACTTTGTAGTATCTTTTATTTCAAGCTCACTGGATATATCGTTAACTATCGTTAATTGATAATACGTCGTCGATACAACTAACTGTCGAGTTGAAGGCCACGGCGAGGGATTTCTTTTTCTCATGTATAAGATTTTGAATAAATTCTGCTTCATATAAATACAAAAACAGGTCTGTTTACAACGGTGCGCAATTGGTATCCATGGGAATTCAACAGATTGTTGGAAGACCTGGTCTCCAAAAACCACATAGATATTGTCAGTCAGAAACTCGAGCATCTTTTAGCTCTTCTGAGCCAAAGTCTCAAAGAGCTAATGCTATGACCATTTGTGCAGTGTGCGTAAACTTTTTGGAAAATGGACCATATCTCAAGAACCCCTTAGCCAAGGGGAAGATTGGATTTCAAAATTGACGTTTTTCTACAAAAACCTAGTTTCCTGAACTCCTTATGCATTTTTGAAGTAGTCCATTCGTATATTGAAATATGATTAGGGGTGTCTTGTAGATATGCAATAGAGTTTCGGAATTTCGACGGGGGGAGGGTCAAAAACAGACTTTTTTTCTACAAAAGCCTAGTTCCCTGAACTTTTCTTACATTTTTGCAGTAGTCAACTCATCTTTTGGAATATGATTGGTTGTGTCCTGTAAATGTGCAATAAGGTATGGGAATTTTCACTGTGGAGGCAAAATGGGAGTTCAGAAAAGAATTTTTTTAGATAAAAGCCTGTGTTCATATTTACGAAAGTTCGTAGACGTAAACGTAGACGTAAGTTCAGACGTCGCGTGGATTTACGTCTAAAACCGTATTTACTAAAAATCGTAGACGTTAAATTACGTCATAATTAAACGTAAATCTACGTCTACTGTGCCCCTACACTTATCTTTATTTACGAACAAGAAAATGGCAGCACTTCTACTGACCATAGCAAGAGATCGTAGTTTAAGACGCCAGCGAGTTTTCCGAGATCGTACCAATCCGTTAGATATTTACAGCGACCTAGAATTGATACAAAGATATAGATTCCCACGGCACACCATCTTAGATTTTGTACAAAATGTTGAAAACCGCTTGTAGAGATCCACAAACAGATCAAATCCTTTGCCAGTGACTTCTATGGTAAGATGTTTTGTAAATATTGAGCCCGATCTAATCATGATGAGTGTATAGTGGCGGATCTAATGAACAAGACTCGTTTCCGTTCATATTCCGTCTTTTCAGTTACAAAATATATACATTAATGAAACGATGCGTGTATTTTTCGTCATCATTTATTGGAAAGGCCTAAAAACAATAATTATCGTTTTTGTAATATATAATTTATATTTTATATTTTAGATCTACATGTATTCAGTGAATAGTATTCAATTACAATATTGTACATTTCATGTACGTGCTAGAGCAGATCGTAAATACAGACTTGGCAGAAAATGTAGGAAAAGGAGATTTTTAATATGTCACACACCCCCTCCTCTCAAAAATACAACCCTTTCATAAACGAAGGAAAGAAATGTCAATAGGCCACAATGCTCACCTGAGTAACCATATACTTAACTATATAGTATATATCTTTCCCTCTATGCACTATAGGAGTTTTTAATTTTGGACAAAGAGACAATAATAGTGTGTAAAGGTGTATATATTGAGCTTATCAATATATTCAACATAGGGTACCTTGCATTTACCTCCAGGAAAAATGTTTCAAGGCAATGGAGTACTGATAAACAGAAATCACTATTGTTTACATAAGTGGACAAGATACATGCAAATGCAGTGTTCAATCTATTCATATTGGCCTATTAAATCTTATGAATACTTAATTTGATCACACATTGAGTGATACACTGTACATTTCAATTTATTATATTCTAGGTTAAGGGGCAGATTACTCATCTGCATACACATACCACTCAATCAGAACTCTTTAGTGTGCAGTGTATAGAGGGCTCTTCAATATGTTTTGACCTTGAACTCAAGTGTCAATTTAGAAAGAAGACAATTAAGTGTACAAAACATGATCTATATATTATCAAATTTTCTAAACCATCTGAGATACTTAAAAAATAATGTTTAAATGCTTACTGGTCTCATGAAATCCTGTGAAGCCTCTTATAAATTTTTTTTATTCATGGGCTTTTATCCTTTTTATATTTGAGGCAAACATTTCAATTCCAATGTTACACCACCCACTCACTGAAATATTGTCTGCATGTTGCATCAAATGTGACCTACATCAGGCCATGACCTCTTAATTTGCAACAGATGTGTATGTCACTACATATGTTCAAGTAATTCCCTTCTGTAGCAATTTAATACAATTGAATAGTTAAATATTCAAATACCCATATTTATTAAACATTTATATTAATCCAGAGAAAACATAATTATTTTTAATTCCACAGGAAAACGCAATTTAGAAATATTTATGTACAAAATTCTTAGGTATTGTCAACTCTCAGGGTCCTGGCCAAAGGAGATTTCCAGTCTGAGGCTGCAGACATTCATGGCATCTCTCAGCCCTCATTTAGCAGAATGTTTATGGATGTTGTCGATGCCTTGAATGGAAGTTTAGATAACATAATCTTCCCTTCTCGACCAGCTGAGATTCTGAAAACCAAAGAAGACTTTCTGAGATTGTCCAATTTTCCTAATGTTGTCGGAGCCATTGATGGGACTCTGATTCCCATCATAGGAATGTCGACAGATGATGAACATGTGTTTGTGTCCAGGAAAGGGTTTCATGCCATTAATATGCAAGGGATTGTGACAGCTGACCTGAAGTAAATATATATCATATATTTTAATAATATTCCTTTTTTTTTTTTACGAACAAGTAAGTCTGTCATTCCTGTAGTAAATATCCTATTAGGAAAATCTGTATATGTGGTGTTCTTTGAAATAGCCTTTCATATAAATCAAAGGACTATGTGCATAAACTCAGTGCCAGTATTCTTTTAATATCACAAGCAGTAAACAAGAGGCCCATGGGCCACAACGCTTAACTGAGACAATATGGCCCTGCTGTTCTTCATCAGCAGATTTCTTGAGAAGAAGATTTTAATAGATGCCTTATCTTTTTTTTACTAATTCTTAATTATCTCCCCTTAGGCCAAACAAAAAAATATGTGTGGTTCCGGTTACACCTCCAAAAAAATTAGGGTAGGTAGGTAGGGATTTTTTTTTTTTTTTTTTTTTAATTTTTTTTTTTTTTTTTTAACAAAATGATTTTCTTAATTATTCTAAATAATACTTATCACTACTTTGCAAATGGCATTTAGATGTGGTGTGATAAAATACTAGTCAATATTGGTAGGGGACACCTACATGCTAGCTTGCTTTGGATTTAACACTAATAAACACTTGCACTATGTTGTGCAAGGAGGCCGTCATTGCTGAAACTAAAACTTAAAGTGGAGCCATTGATGGAAATTGGGGAAAATTCCGGAAAAAATATGAAAATTGCCAAAAAAAAGTTTAGGGTCGGAGGTATAAAATAGGGACGGTCGGGTAACCGGAACCACACATATTTTTTTATTTGGCCTTAGAAGAAAGTTTGAACAAATTTGAATTCCCTTCACCCAAGGATACTCTATGCTAAGTTTGGTTGAAACTGGTTCAGTGGTTCTGGAGAAGAAGATGATATTGTAACAAGAAGCCCATGGGCCACAACACTCACCTGAGTTACATTGGCCCAACTGTTCTTCACCAGATTTTCCCTTGTATTTATACCTATTATGGCCCCCACCCTACCCCCGGGGGTCATGATTTGAAAAATTTAGAATCTACACTACCCCATGATGCTTCCAAATAAGTTTCAGCTTTTCTGGCCTAGTTCTTCTTGAGAAGAAAATTTTTTCTATATATTTCAATGTAATAATTGGATTCCCTATTGTGGCCCTGCCCTACCTCCAGGGTCATGATTTGAAAAATTTAGAAACTACACTACCCAAGGATGCTTTCACATAAGTTTCAGCTTTTCTGGCCCAGTGGTTCTTGAGAAGAAGATTTTTTAATGACCCCACCTTATTTTTGTCTTTTCTTGATTATCTCCCCTTGTAAGAGGGCTTGGCCCTTCAATTTAACATTTTAAACTCTCCTTCACATAAGGATGCTTTGTACCAAGTTCCGTTAAAATTGGCCCAGTGGTTCTTGAGAAGAAGTTGAAAATGTGAAAAGTTTACAGACAGACGGGCAGACAGATGGACGGACAATGGACAAACAGTGATCAGAAAAGCTCTGTTACAACGCGAAATGTAATAACAACGCAAAATGTAATAAACTGGGATTATTACATTTTGCGTCGAGATCAACGCAAAAGGTAATAACGCAAAAGGTAATAACAAGATTTTTGGATTATTACATTTTGCGTTATTAAATTTTGCGTTGGGATTAACGTGAAATGTAATAATGCACTTCTTGGTTGTTACATTTAAGGTTACTTAATTTTTGCATTGGGGACAATGCAAAATGTAATAAAACAAAATATTATTAGTTTTTGTATTGTGTTCAACTCAGAACATCACAAAATTGATCGAAACATATAACAATGGGGAAACTCGCTTCACTAAATAGACAGACATATCTATGACCATGAGACAAAGTTTAATGTTATGGCTTTTACGGCCATTACTAAATCTAATTATTTTTTTAATGCTGTTTCTAACATTTTTATTGAATACTTATAAAATATTAACTAAACTTTGATTGACTATTTATAAATCAGTCTGTATTATATATCCATCACTGACATTCTTAATTACCAAAGATTGACCATGGGTCCATTAAAAAGTCTTGATATGCATGTACGACATGCATGTGTACATTGATTAGCAAATTAGAAGTGCATGTGTGTGTGTGTCTAGCGAGGAGAAGCAGGGGGTAGGGGTTACTAGTATGTTGATCATTGTATTTCTATGCAGATGCAGAAACCATCTATTTTATTGTTGAAGAGAGAGAGAGAATTTTATTTGCTGGTCTGCAATACACATGATTTGTAAAACAGTATGAAATTTTTATTGTCAAGAAACCCCCTTCCTGCTATCTTTACACCTGCCAGTAAAAATAAATAGATTTCTTTACTAAATTTCAGGCATGTGCCTATCAAAAAGCAAAAGCAAACTGATACACTGATCAACGAAAATCCCCCCCCCCAACACACACATACGTCTCTAATTTGCAATACCTATGATTTGGATATCAACTGATTTTAAATGGCTAATGAAATCAATATATGATGAAATCAGATATAATGAAAGAATAAACATATGTTTATTTTCCTTTTGTTTTACTTTTTCCATTTATTTTCTTCATCCACTACTCAATTGAAAATTATTCTCAACCTGACTGACTTAAAAGTGTGTTATTACATTTTGCGTTGTTGCATTTTGCTTAATCTCGACGCAAAATGTAACAATGCAAAATTTAATAACCCAAAAATAGTGTTATTACTTTTTATGTTATTACATTTCACCTTGATCTCAATGCAAAATGTAATAACGCAAAATGTAATAATCCTAAAAAGTCTGTTTTTACATTTTGCGTTATTACATTCTGCGTTGATATCGACGCAAAATGTAATAATGCAAAATGCAATAATCCTGTATTATTACATTTTGCGTTGTTATTACATTTCGCGTTGTAACAAAGCTCACTTAAGCTTTCAGCTCAGGTGAGCTAAAAAGTTAATGACGCTGAAACCAACACCAACGACGACAGACAACAGACAAATTGTGATCAGAATTCTCACTTGAGCCTTTGGCTCTGGTGAGCTAATAAAAAATTGGTATTGCACTACTGCTGGATATATCAATGAAAACGAAAAAGAATTTGTGTGTCTACCACTGATTTCCTTATTGCATGATCTTAACAAATATTTAATCATGTATTTCAGATTTATAAATATAGTTTGCAAGTATGGAGGAGCAACCCATGACGCATACATACTTGCAAACAGCAACATTCCAGAAACAATGGAGCAGCTCCCAGGTGGGGGCTGGCTTTTGGGCGACAGTGGTTACCCTCTCCGCCCATGGCTAATGACACCAATACTCTCTCCACAGACCCAACAGCAGGAGAAGTATAACGAGAGCCACATCAAAACAAGGAATTGTGTTGAGAGGGCCTTCGGTGTCTTAAAGTCTAGATTCCGGCAAGTAAAAAAAAAATAAATGATTTAATTCAGTTCTGAGTATTACAGAACCACTGTATACAAAATACAGATATGACAATAATCAAAAACACAAAACACAATTAAAAAAAACGTAATATAAAAGGAAAACATACAGAAATACAATGCATTTGTATAAGAAAAGAGGGGGAAAAATTACTTTCAATCATTATAATTACTTACTGCTGCTATTTAACCCATATATAACAATGTGACTGTAATTTCATTCCAGATGTCTTCACAAAACAGGTGGGGCTTTAGCATACACCCCAACAAAATGCGTTCGTATTATTGAGTGTTGTTGCCGTCTGCACAACTGGGCCATAGAAGAAAAACTTCCAACACCAGTGGCAGGACAAGTTTCCATCTATTCCGACAGCCATACTGTAAACACACAAAATATTGCCAGTGCTATAAATATAAGAAATATCATTGTTAGGCGGTTTTAATGATAAACATACTTATTTCTCAACAACTTAAAGGGGCTTGAACACTGATTTGAGTTATTATTTTCTCAAATTTTCTGTATAATGTCAGGGATATAAAATTGTTACTACAGCATTTCACTCGGAAATATAAATGTAAAATAAAAACATGATCAGAAACTTCTTTTATCTGGAAATTATTAAAACTGCTAATTTCAGAACTTGTTTGATTGACACATATCATGCACTTTCAAAAAGTAAACTTTATCCTTAATAATTAAGAAAAGAAGAAATTTTGTTGTCTATTAATGATAAGTATTAAAACTATAATCCAGAAAATTCAGAGTAGTAATATGAGAAAGCACAACCAATTCAATATCACCAGTATTGTCAGTCTGTGCTCAGTAATGTCTGCAAAGTTCAACAAATTGAACACACCGGGTGAAGCGTAAACATAAACAATAACAGAGCTTGTGCCCTGTTTACAAAAACAGTTGTTTGACATGATGTAAAGATGAATGCCATTGAATTCTAAAATTATTCCTGTAAGTTTAATTCATCTAGCTTTATTTTTTGAATAACCATAAAAATTTAAATTGTAAACTGTGTCCAGGCCCCTTTAATGGAAACAAGAGGCCCATGGGCCACATCACACACCCGAGGACATTGGCTAGAAAGGGGGGACAGGCATGACTTGTTCATACTTGAATCTACACTAACTGAGGATGCTTCCATCCATATTTCTTTGACTTCAGAAGAATTTTTTTTTTACAAGTTTGATCTTCTATTGTGGTCCCACCCTACCCCCAGGGGTCATGATTTGAACAAACTTGAATCTACACTACCTGAGGATGCTTCTGAATTAATATAACTAATCATGACTTTGCTATTCTTGGGAAGAAGATTTTTAACGATTTATCCCATTACATATTCCTTCCCTCATTGTGACCCCACCCTTGCCCAAGGGGTCATGATTTGAAGAAACTTGAATCTACACTATGTCAGGAAGATTTCACATAACTTTCATCTTTTCTGGCAGAGTGGTTCTTGAGAAGAAGATATTTTTTATGACCCCACATAATTATTTCATTTTCTTAATTATCTTCCTAAGGCTAAAAGGGTGTGGCCCTTCATTTGAACAAACTTGAATCTCCTTTACCCAAGGATACATTGTGCCAAGTTTGGTTGAAATTGGATCAGTGGTTCTGGAGAAGAAGATGAAAATATATTAAAAAAAAAATTATGACAACAACCATGATGACAGACAACGGACAATATTTGATCAGAAAAGCTTACTTGAGCTGAGCTAAAAATCAGGATTTATGATAAATTCACAAAGTATTTTACTGGTTGATTGAGGGGTATATATGTAGAATAATAATTTTACTCTGCATTCTTAAGTTTCATCTCCCTTTGTCAGTATATATCAAAATTGGTAATGGTTATGGAGGAATAAAAAGTATCATACCTTAATGTATGTCCAGCTTAACCCTGCAAAGGGGAAATAACTTTTGTAAATGTAGACATCATTTATAAATATTTTGGTTATCCTGTTAAAAGAATTACAATGTGCTTTACTTTAAAGAATGAAGTTAAACTAACCTAATACATGAAATATAGCAATCTGATAAAAGTTTTCATTATAAAATTTTACAGAAATACATGTTCATACCAGGTTGGATATAAATGTAATGTGTAATACTTACTCTGGTGTGCATCAGAAAATTATTCAACAAAACTTCAGTTGTGCCTATATGCATGGAAGTATGTTTATTGAGAAAACATACAAATTATAACCTTTCCATTACCAAAATCAAAATAAATTGCTGTAAATAATAAGTTCATTATACTATTTGATTTAAAAAAAAATAACTACTTTGAAAGAATTTTTCTTTTAAATACAAGTAATACAGTGTATGTATATAATTTTTAAAAACAAGGTATGTGTATTAATGATGTGAAGGAGTGGCAATTTCTATTGTGAATGAAAGAGGTAATTTTTGGTCTTTCTGTGAATGAGAATCTATGAGTCTTTGATATTTATCATCACCATATTAAATTTTCTACAAACTATGAGATTTCCAAAGGTTTTAAGACTGCGTGAAATTTTCAAATTCTGTTCTATGCTTTTGAAAAGTGAACATTGTATTTTGTAATCATGTTACAACATGAAAGTCCAGTTAATTTTCCTTTCCTGTGTCTTTTTTTTTTCAATTAATGTAAATGTATCCAGTATACAAATTTTAATTTCAGTTAATATATATGCCACCAATTTTTGTTAAACATGCAAATTTGTTAAAAATGTTTTTAGTCAGAGATGTTTTTGTTCCCTAAGTTCACAAATAAAACCAGTGATTAGCTGTCATTGTAATTAATGTTAAGTCATAATTCAAATTCCATTCAAATTTGTCATCAGGTATTACAATATACTGTCACAGGAAAAATAATCATTTGTTACAGTAAAATACAGTGAATATATAATTATTACCTTAGTTTGTTTTCTTTTTAATTTATCAATTCCATTCAATAGATCAAATTCTCCAATAAAAGATGAATTTAAACAAATCAATGTATAAAAAATTCAGCACAAAAACTAAATACACAAAACATACCATGCGAGTTTCATGAAAATGAAAAATGTAAAATCAAAGAATTTGTGTCCCCCACTTAAGATAGGAAAGAGGGTGAGAAAACTGGGGAGAAACAAGCAGATGGAGAAATATCAAAAAAGGTCGACCTTGAGTCCTTGACCTTTCGGCTTTTGGACTTTGTAACAAGCAACAAAGTTACATGTATAGCCCAGACAAGAAATTTACACTTTTTCTGCCAGTGACCTTGAACTTACAGGAATGACCTTGGGTAAAGTTCATGACACACCCTCAGATTATAAACAATCCTGGTATCATGCATGAGTTTCCGATGAATCTCCATTACAAAGTTTAACCCTAAAAAAAGAATTTTACCCATTTTCTGCCAGTGACCTTGAACTTGCCGGAATGACCTGGGTCAAAATCACCACAAACTGTCATATCATAAACAATCTTTGTACCAAGCATGAATCTCCAATGATTCTCCATTACAAAGCTATAGCCTGGACAAGATTGCATGGACAGACGGACAAGACGATTCCTATGTACCCCAAAACTTCATTTGTATGTGTGTGTGGGGTGGGGGTGGGGGGTGGGGGGGTGGGGGGGGGTGTATTATTAAAACTCGGATAAAAGACGGCTAAAGGAGGGAACACTGGAAGTTGATTTTTCCTGCAATAAAGAATACACATTTCGTAAAATCTGAAGTTTTTCTTGTTCTATCTCTAGTCTTTTCTTCTTTATGGCTAGTTTTTCTTCCTCAATTTCAACAAGTCTCCGAGTTTCTGTCGAATATTCACATAACTGAGCTCTTCGTTTACCTTTTTAAAAGGAAAATTTATTTCATGTTTGGGTTTTATTTTTAAAACAGTTTAAAATAAATTCACAATTAAAGTTGGTTTAAAAGAATTTAACAAAAAGAACCAATAAACTTACAGATTAATTGTTCACAAGTGATGATTTTTTTTCTTCTCTTTCATTATTTTTTTTTAATAAACACTGAAACACTTTTTCCTTCTCTAAAGTTATCATGGCAAATTCTTGCAAATTACTTGGGGGGGGGGGGGGGGATGTTAGATTTAGTTCAAGTACATACATGTTTACACGTCTCCTAGCTACTACTTGGGCATTTTAACCCTATGTATTTCTTCAGTTTTGCATACATTACCACTTAAAACATTGCCAGAATTTCTAGATGATGCTGTCCCTGATTTTTAAAAATAGCATTAATTTTTTTTTTTTTAAATGCTCATTGTTATAACTGAAAACTAGAGAAAAGGCATATTGATAAATACATCATAGACAATCTTTGAGCCAATTATTTCTTTAATTCTCTTACCTCTAGAATGTCTAGGTGATGGTGCTGTTAGCAAACAGGATTCCTCTGTAAAGTCAAAGGAATGCTTGCAGACAATTACTGGTATAAAATAGCATATCAATTATCATTTCTTTTGAAAAAAAATATGTTTAAATGATTTATAACTTTCACTAATACATGCTGGAATTTAAAAAAAGAAGAAAATCAAGAGCCACAATCCTAAACAGTACTGAGTCAACCTGACCTTGCTCTTGGTCAATCTTTGTTTTCACTATGAAATTAACAAGAAAAACTTTGATCCCAATCCTAGCCCTAAGGGGGATATGGATTTACTTTACCAAACTTGAACCCACATTATTGGGATTCTTAACATCAATATATGACTAACATTTCTTTCCTTATATTCTCCTAAAAAATACATTTGTATCTGACCATATTGATTTACACTTACCTTGACTTAATAAAGATGAGTCAGTTCCTGTTGATACTGGAGAGTCTTTACAAATAATTTATAACAAGGTTAATACATATATACATGTGCCTACATGAAAACTTATTAAGATTTTTTTTTTTATCCTGCTTGGTTTAATTTCAAATCACATTGTAATATGCAAGTACTAGCCTAAAGAGAAAACTGGTCCATCATTAAATGAGTTCATAAGTTCTTTAGCTGGAACTGCAACAAATGTATTTCTTTATGTAAATATACTTTTTCATTTATGGGAAAAAATACACATATGTGTCTGTGTGTTTGTGTTGAAATGCATTCAGTACTCTCAAGATCTCTCTCTCTCTCTCTATATATATATATATTGACAGAAATATATTGTCATAATCTTACCCTCTGTGATAATCACTGAAGGGACTGCCTCAACATATCTGTCTTGACCTCCCTGTGATACATGTACCTGAGTAGATGTCCCTTGGGACATGTTCGATGATGTGCATGTAGAACTGGTATCAACCCCATCTTCAATTCCACATATTGAGGTCTGAGGAATTGTCTGCAAGATCTAAAGTTGTTGACAAGATAAAAGCATTTTTTAAATTCTTGGGTCAATTTACATTAACAGGACCTGGTGCAATTTGATTACTTTTATAGCATTTACACATAAAGAAAAAAATAACAAAATAATAGGGGGTACATTAGGCTCATTTGATCTTAAGACATTTATTAAATTTTCACCGAACTATAATAGTGCACTAATTCAGAATTTAAATTTATTCTGTTTTAAATAAAAAAAAAAAGACAGAAACTCAAAAAAAAATGACACAGAAGAATTCAAGATATGAACATTAACATCGTGCAAACATATATTAGTTCATGCTTGGAGACCTAATCCTAAAACACTACTTGAGAACATGCTGTGCAGTAGTGATGGGAATCAAACCCATTATCTCCCTAGACAGTTACAGACACATAGGGTATATATTACATGGAAGACATGAAATTTCCACATTAGGTGCACTGATGTTAGTTCATACTTACCCAGTTACCCTCAGTCATGAATTATCTCATTATCTCATGATTTATTAGACAGTTAGTCACACATAAGGACACCACTTTACACACACAAAAGTAAACCAGGAAAATTTTCATGCATATACCTTTTCACAAATTTTATATTTTCAAGTATGCCATCTAAAAACTTAATATTTTGTCACAACATTCATAAATTAATTAATAAAATACCTACACATGATAACAAAATATCTACTCATGTCTGCATCAGCATGTGTCCTTCACTCAACCTATAAGCTAATACCTACCTTCAAATAGATGTAATATAAATCATAGAATGTTCAACGGCAACAGTTTTAAATAATTCTATAATAATTGACATGCCCTTCAACAATATAAAACCTGAAAATATAATTATAAACAAACTTTTTCTTCCCATGGCTTTAATGAGGAAATCTGCATGGGCCCTCCCCCTGTCTGTCGTACACTCTTCCTTCGCTGGCTTTCTTTTTTTTTAACAAATGACTGAAGGTCTTGCCATTTTTTTTTTATGTCTGTCATTTCCCTTCTGCACTGCACACTTACAGCATTTACTCTACATGTAAATGCATGTGTATTTGAATGGTAATTGTAAACGAGGAAAAAAAAATACTTGAATGTCAAAGAAAATAATATTAAGGTTTTTACGTAACGACATGGTTATAAATACATAGTGAAAAAGTTAAACAGCCCTTGTAAAAGCTCTAACATTACCTCTTAGTTTATTTTTCACACAAAAATAATTATTAATTTCAGTCTATTCATACAAATAACAAATAGTTGTGATTATACTTTTACTCTTAACAATTTCTCAGGGCAGCGTTTTTCAATTTTAAAAGATTTCATATCAAGAAAAAGATTTCATTCCTAATTGTTTACTTATCTGTGACAGCCTCCCAGGCCTCCGTCTTCATGCTGTTGGTCAGACAGGGAGAAAATTTCCCATAGAGAACCCTGTAGTTAGTGGACACCGCGTCCACTAACACTTCCACCTCCAAATCGCTAAAATTAGCTTTGCGTTGCTTCTTTATGTCCATCTGGGGCACCTCCATGATCGCAGACGACTGATGTAAAAATTCGCGCACTGAAAAGTGAAACTAACGAAAGCGCATGCGTACGCACAATCGTACATTTAAGAATTCGTAACTTACGTCTACGTCTACGAGTGGCTTTGTAAATACCAAGTTACGTGTTCGTATCTTTAATCTTACGTCAGTCGTAACTTCTACGTTTACGTCTACGTCTACGAACTTTCGTAAATATGAACACTGGTTATCTAAACTCCTTTTGTATTTTTTTTTGCAGTAGCCCATTCATATTTGTATGTAATTGGAAGTGTCCTGTACATGTGAAGTAAAGTTGTGGAATTTGGATTTTTTACCTAGGGGACAATGAAGATCAAAAGAGACATTTTCCCCCTACCAAAAACCTGCTTTTTAGAAATCCACTTATATTTTTAGCATTAGCCAAATCACTGTTTGGAATATGATTATGGTGTCCTGAAGATGTGCAATAAGGTTTCGGAATTTTCATGTCCACACGGGGGTCAAATTTGAGATAAAAAAAAATTACTCTTTTTTTGAAAAAAAAAAAACAACAAAAACATGGTTCCCTGAACTCCTCTTACACTTTTTGCAGTAGCCCATTTATATTTTCATAAATATTTATCATATAGTACATGTATTTATCATATAAAATACTTGTATAAGAGGTCCATGGAGAACAGACTCGCCTGAGCATTTTATGCTGAATTTGATTACATATATACTGTGTGTAAATTAAAGAATTATTGTGGCTTCTTCCCTGGTTACCCTATTATGAAGGAGCCTATATTTGGAGGCAGACACCTATGCGCGGATATTACTGTCTTATGAGAGCATCTAGTTTTCATTGCTTCTGACATCGAATATGATGAATAAAATGTAACTCTAGATAATCTTTGAGTCATTGTTTTCTTTTGTTTTTGTTTTTAAATACAAAAACCTGGTACTCTGAACTCCTCTTACACTATTTGCATTTTCATATACATTTATCATATAAAATACTTATATAAGAGGTCCATGGAGAACAGACTCATATGAGCATTTTGTGCTCAATTTTATACATATATATTTTGTGTAAATTATAGAATTATCATGGCTTCTTCCCAGGTTACCCAAACATGAAGGAGCCTATATTTGGAGGCAGACACCTATGCGCGGATATTACTGTCTTATGAGAGCATCTAGTTTTCATTGCTTCTGACATCGAATATGATGAATAAAATGTAACACTACATGTAGATAAGTTTTGAGTCATTGTTCGTAAACCTGTAGAGGATTAATGATCTCTTTACGAATAGCTGTATTTATTTAAACAATAAAATGCTTTATTGCAGATGTTGCAGAAAAAAAAACATATAACTTATAAAGAGGGTAATATTATGTTTTGTTTTGTTTTTTTAAAAACCTTGCTAACAAGAAAGATATGTAGATGATCATATAAAGTAGGCTCCTGACATGAGTTACATTTATTTATTCATTTATTTATTTTTTGAGAAGTATACTTATTTTAGATAACTACTCATATAGCATTACTCAAAATCGCAAAGAAAATTGGTTATCATTGTGTGCATTTTAGTGAGCAACGGTATTATTAACTTGACCATCTTGCGCTTAAATTGTAATTTTTAGTTTAATCACATATTTTATCTGATGCAATCATGGCAATAAAAAGCTTGATACAAGGAAATATTTTATAAAGAAGAATGTTTATTTTTTTTAAAAAAAAAATCTTGCAAAATGTGCGTAAATTATTGTGCGAACTTTTTGCACTTAAAATATCATATTTGGGATATTGAAAATCTGAACAGACAATAAAATAATTTCTTGTATCAAGTTTTTTTCATGGCTTTAGTGCTAACCAGTTGAAAGATGAAAGATCGTATCCACTCCCGTTTGAAAGAAAAGAACTCGATCAAAAACAATCAGAAGAGAATTTTATACCTACAAAAAATTTGCCTGGGGTAAGCAAAATCCGAATTTTTCTTGTTGGGGGAAAATTGGCTCTGGGGAAAATCTTTAACTACCAAACAGAGTATAGGACACCCCCCCCCCCCCGGAGATTGAATCTAGTGTGATATTTTCGTGAGAGAAATCCTAAACTAAAGCGCATTTTGCGGTGGGAAATGCATGTATACTATTCTATAGAGCCAGCTGATTTTAGAAGGGAGGCCTTCCTTACAAGAGTGGAACACCAATTTTTAAGAAAGGAATTGACCTTGGCTTCAAGCAAAATTTATAAATTGATATATTTGTTATTTACAATTTTACAATTTATAGCCAAATCTCTTGGTTATCTCATTAAAGGGCAAGTAACTCCACAATATTTATAAGATTCTGATAAACTAGGGCACCACTGAGGTCTATAGTTCTATGTTGAAAAGTTGGAGCATAAAGGCGGAAGTGAGAAAAGGCTAAAGGTACGTAAATTTACAACACTTAGGGTGTGAATAAATACAAACTCTCCATTATCTGTTGTTTTCCATCTTCGTGAGGCTCAAAATGAAAGTGTTTTAAAACTTTTTTTTTTGGCTTGTTGGTTCAACATTAAGTACCGACAACTCTTAATTGAAACCTTGCTTTGGGGCGGATCACAATTCTTTTGATTAAAATTCACAGCGTACGGTGCGTTGGTTTTGGGGGATTTTTTTAGGTCACCTAAGTCACTCAGGTGACCTTATTTCTATGTGTTTTTCGTCCGTCGTCGTACGTCATTCGTCGTCAATCGGTTGTAAACTTTTGAACATTTTTAGCTTCTTCTCTGGAACCACTGAACCAATTTCAACCAATTTTGGCATATAACATCTATGGGTGAAGGGGAGTAAAAATTGTGCAATTCATGGCCCCTGCCCCCCCCCCCCCCCAGGGGGCCTGAGGGGTGGGGCTAAAACCATCAAAATAAATGCAATCTTTAAAAACTTATTATTTACTTCTTATTTACTCCTGGACATCAAGCAGTAAAACTGTTGGCATGATTGTAATAAGCATTGAGCCCTCTACCAAAATTGTGAAATTCATGGCCCCAGGGTCAGGGGTTCTGACGCTAAGGTGGGGCTCTAATGATTGTATTAATTCTTTAAAAATCTTCTCTGCTTCTGGGTATTTAGCTGATGAACTAAGTACATAGTTATGGTGAGCAAGAGTGCGTCTTCCAAAATTATGAATTTCATGGCCCCTAGGTCAGGGGTTCTGGTGTTAGGGCGGAACTCTAAAGTCTCTAATGATTATATAGTGAAAATGCATTAATTCCTTGAATTTTTTTCCTCTGCTCCTGGGTATTAAGCCGATGAACTAAGTACTTAGTTATGATAAGGAAGAGTGCCTCTTCCAAACTTGTGAATTTCGTAACCTCTGGGTCAGGGGTTCTGGTGTTAGGGTGGGGCTCTAATGATTATAGGGTGAAAATGCATTAATTCTTTGAAAATTTTCTTCTTTGCTCCTGGGTATTAAGCCAATGAATTAAATACATAGTTATGATGAGGAAGAGTACCTCTTCCAAAATTGTAAATTTCATAGCCCCTGGGCCAGGGGTTCTGGTGTTAGGGCGGGTCTCTAATGATTAAGTAGTGAAAATGCATTAATTCTTTAAAAATCTTCTCCTCTGCTCCTGGATATTAAGCTGATGAATTAAGAACAAAGTTAATTCTATATATAAATACATATCGATCACACACACACACACACAATATCGAACACGGGCAGTTTCAAAATGGACCTAAAAACCATTCAGGTTAGCATGAACTAAAATGAAGTTGTTCTTGATTTACTGGGAGACTTGAATGGTGAGGATATTAAAGCTACTGAGGCAATGAATATCCTTGTACCGAGAATCTTTTTATTTTTTCTATATAATTGTGATTTATTGACAAGGCTGTAGCCAGCAGGAGTGGACGTCGCTCTAACGCCACATAAAAGTCCCATCGGGAACATTTTCCTTACTGAGGGAAATTAACAACATTGTATTTTTCTGATATTGTGTGGAAAAAACTTAGTATTCAGAGAAGTGACAAAAAAATTAGAGTGGACATTACAAAAAAGTGAATTCCAAGACCCGGAAAAATTAAATATGATTTTGAAACAGTACACGTGTCTTGCATTATCTTTTTTTTTCTTTTTGCGCGAGAAAGAAAAGCCAATATAACTGTTAAGTGAACCAATCAAACACCGTTCAATATTTCAGAAATAGCACTATTCTTCACCATGAAGAATCGATTCTTCATGAGAATTGAAAACATTTGATTGGCTGAATAAGTGGGTTATGTTCTAGTGGTAGTTGTCATGTATTTTCAGTGCGATGTAAAAAAAAAAAAAAAAATCCTTATGTTTACATGAAAGAAGCTGTCACAGTAGCTCAGTCGGTAGAGCGCCCGCTCCGTGATCGGAAGGTCGTGTGTTCGAATCACGGCCGTGACTGACCTAAGTCGATAAAAAAAAAAATAGATAGCAACTGTTCGGCACTTTGAAGTGGAAGTTGTGGGTCTTTCGGATGAAACTTTAAAAACCGATTCCCCGTGTCACGGTAGGCGTTGGAACGAAAAAGAACCTTCATTGCTCAATGGCCCTGAGTGTCAAGTAAAGGTCTAAATTTGAAGCCCTTCACCTGTATATGTTGACGTCTCTATATAAGTGAAAAATTCTCGAACAGGACGTAAAACAATATATTATCAATCAATCACATGGAAGGTCACGTGCAGGTGAACATAACTTAGTATTTTTTTATAATGTTGAATCTCATCCAATCAGAGAGCTAGGAATTATCCAATCAACTAATAAAATTCTTCTACTTTAGATAGTGTTTGTAAGTTTCTGCTATAAACACTGTTCTTTAATGCAAAAATGTGAGACTGCCATCAATGCGTCATTTCAATGTGTTGTCCACTTGTCACACTCACAAACATCACCAATTCGCAAGAAGCACAGATATTTACTCCAATCTAACACTTTGATTATAAAATTCTGCATAGTTTATTTTACAGTGACTGTGAGATAAAATGCCAGAGACTAAGCTGAAATCGGGAAATGCAGGAGACGACACACACTTACGTGTGATGGATATCGATGGCTACATTATCCCCACATTTCCTTTCCAGGATCATGAAAAACACTTCCGGTCAATGCCAGGCTGGAGAGCACGAGAAGATGACATCATAATCAGTGCCTATCCAAAAGCCGGTACCTTGAATGATATGATAAATTTAAGCTTTGTTGTTTAATAAGAAGTCTTGAGTATACAAAAAGGTAAAGTGTTCGTTCGTCAGTTCGTCATATGAAGAAGAATTTATTCAAAAACTTCTACAGAAGAAGAAAATATACAGTTATAGAATGGGTATGAGGGAAATAGCAAATTTATGGTTCCCCGAGGGAGGAAACTATTTCCCGAGGCGGCGAAGCCGCCGAGGGAAATAGTTTCTGCCGAGGGGAACCATAAATTTGCTATTTCCCGAGTACCCATTCTATAACTGTTTTATTATACCGAAACAAACAAAGGAGATTTATTAACTAGAGACTTAGACATTTTTAAAACTATAGAGGTATTTATATAAGTAATCCAAAATGCATGTGATTCCAATTTCGTTTAATATATAATGCATCAATACGGAAAAAATAAAATTATTTAAAAAAAAAAAATAATAATTTCACTGACATTTCGAAGGATTATCCTTGTCCTCTTTTTGCTTAGAAATTCCAGTATGATTTTGACATCGCCAGTCGAAATGTTTTGACGTCATAGTTACATTGCTAATAACATAACGTCATGGACTCGAGATTCTTTGAACGCTCCGCCCACTGTTCATTTTAATTGGTTAAAATTAATAATCAATATTCATGAGGGAGTAGTCCCAGGGAGTAGCTCTGATTTTTCAGGGAGTAGTCCTCAGATGGGGGAAATAGTATCTTCTCGGGGAAATAGACAGTTTTATTATACCTCTACTCTTATTACTCTATATAAAATTAATACCATAAAACTGTCTATTTCCCCGAGAAGATACTATTTCCTCCATCTGAAGACTACTCCCTGAAAATCAGAGCTACTCCTTGGGACTACTCCCTCATGAATATTTATTATTAATTTTAACCAATTAAAATGAACAGTGGGCGGAGCGTTCAAGGAATCTCGAGTCCGTGACGTAATGTTATTAGCAATGTAACTATGACGTCAAAACATTTCGACATGCGATGTCAAAATCATACTGGAATTTCTAAGCAAAAAGAGGACAACGATAATCCTTCGAAATGTTAGTGAAATTATTATTTTTTTTAAATAAGTTTAGTTTTTCCTTATTGATGTATTACATATTTAACAAAATTGGAATCACGCACATTTTTGATTATTTATATAAATGCCTCTATATTGTTTTAAAAATGTCTCAGTCTCTAGTTAATAAATCTCCTTTGTTTGTTTCGGTATAATAAAACAGTTATGGAATGGGTACTCGGGAAATATCAAATTTCCCTCATACCCATTCCATAACTGTATATTATGGTATTAATTTCATATAGAGTAATAAGAGTAGAGGTATAATAATACTTGCTATGGCCTTCAACTCAACGTTTAGATATATCGACGACGTATAATCAATTAACAATAGTTACTTCCATTCATATGTCGACTCGATACATGTATATCCCAGTGAACTTGAAATAAAAGATACCACAGAGTATGACACATCTGTTTCGTACGAGAAATAGACGTTAATGGTAACCTTACAACAAAACTTTATGATAAACATGATGACTTCAACTCTTCTATCGTCAACTTCCCTTATGTAGCAATATACCCTTATCATCTGCGCATGGAGTTTATGTCTCCCAGTTGATTCGATACGTAAAAGCGTGCACTACGTCCGAACAATTTCTAAAATGAAGCAAGCTATTGACAAACAAGTTGATGAAACAAGGATGTCAACAGTCTCGCTTGAAGTCAACATTTCGCAAGTTCTATGGTCGATACAATGACCTTGTCAGCAAATACAATCTATCATTAAGTCGAATGCTGACTGACGTTTTTCATACAAAATGTGTAAGCCATTTTTTAAAAACTGAATGATATACGGATTTTTACAAGGAGCGTGACCGGTCGACAGGGGGGATGCTTACTCCTCCATGGCACCTGATCCTACCTCTGATGCTTTTAGAGATCCGTGTTTCCTCTGCTCCCGATTTGTATTGTTTCATTGGACTTTCGAGCTTGATTAATTTTCGTTATTTCCATATTTCATCTACATTAGGATAGTAATATATATCTCCATTTTGATAATAGAATGCGATGAACGATGTGCCACATTTTGATTGTACTCATCGAAGACCATTAGATGTTTTGGATTAAAAATTGTCCGTCGTCTGTACGTCTGAAAATATCCAATACGTTAGTTTGTATTTTATGCTTAACTTCAAGTGTAGACTGCATGGAGAAAAAAGCGAGAATTTCAGTGAATGGCTTTTCTGCAAGCTGTTTCAAAAACTAAAATAAACTTGTATGTTATTTCTAAAAAAAAAATCATTTATTTTCGTCTAATTTTAAAAAATTTTTGTATAAGTGCCATCTACCTAAAAATAAGAGATTCTATTGATTAATTCTTAATTTGATAAATTGATTGCCACCGTTATAGATATTAAACACACATCTAGTTAAAAAATTATATATACAATCATATAAATGATATATTGTAAGTAATAAATTATTTTGTGATTTTCATTGAAAGATAAGACTCATTATTAATTAATTGATTTTTTTTGTGAAGGGACACATTGGTTATGGGAAGTCGCGAGCATGTTGGTCCGTCACAAAGCAGAGCGTATTCCGGAGATAAAGGAGACTGCCATGATGGAGGGTCTTACGGAAGAAACGTTCGACAACATGTCGTCCCCCCGAGTCATAAACACACATGTCTATTTCAAGTATCTACCCAAGGACTTCTTTGATAAGAAGTGTAAAATCCTGTACATCATTAGAAATCCAAAAGATATTGCTGTTTCATTTTACAATCATCACAGAAAACTTTTAGAATACGAGTTTGATGGAGCATGGGAGGATTATCTCAAACGATTTATTAAGGGAAAAGGTGAGGTTTAAAACCTGAGAGTATATTAAAATAATACAATTCTTAGTTTGGAGTAAGGGTTATTCGTTAATCTTCTTGGAGAAAGATAATAAAAGACTAAGTAACTCGATTGACTATGTGAGTGTTGACATGTAAGTAGTTTTGATATAATGCCGAAAAGAGACTTTTAAGAGATCTGGAAGTAAATGGACCACGGGTCCTGGTTTATAAGCTTGCTGTAACTTTCGAGTCCTGATTTATAAGTTTGCTGAAACTACGGGTCCTAGTTTATAAATTTGCCTGTTTTGACAACAAGTCCAGGTTTAATCATTGTTATTTGAAAGTGAACCTGTCTCAACATAGGACCATGGTCCTGGATTATTAACCACAATGCAATGTAGCAACTGTTTTGATGGTGAGAGTACAGGACCTGGATTAACCACAATCTAATGTAAAGGTCATTTCATGAGAATGGACTAAAGGTCCTGGATTAACCACCACAGTCTAATTTAAAGGTAATGTCATAATAGTGGACTTAGGATCCAGGATTAACCCCATTCTAATGTAAATGTCATGTAATAGCGGACTAAGGGTCCTGAATTAACCACCACAGTCTAATGTAAAGGTTATGTGATATTGAACTAAGGGTCCTGAATTAACCCCATTCTAATGTAAAGGTCATGTGACAATGGACTTAGGGTCGTGGATTAATCATGTGATAGTGAAATTAGGGTCCTGGATCAACCACAGTCTAATGTAAAGTTCATGTGATATTGGATTACATGTCCAGTATTGACTATTTGATAGTGGACTAAGGGTCCTGGATTAACCATGTGATAGTGGACTAAGGATCCTGGATTGATCATGTGATAGTGGACTAAGGGCCCTGGATTACCCTCCTTCTAATGTAAAGGTCATGTGATAGTGGACTTAGGGTCCTGAAACTCTATTGAATTAAAAGTTTATCTTTCTTGATCATAAGATGAGGATTCTGGATTAACCACCACCTGTATAAGTAAAGGTTTGATCTATTTTTATAGTTGATTATGGGTCCTGGTTTGACTACACTCTAGAAATGGAAAAGTTCATGGAGGAAAACCAAGATTACCCTATCCATGTGTTGTATTATGAAGATATGAAGGAGGTGAGTTACCGAAAGCAATAGTAATTTTACGGAATAAATGATTTTTTTTTTTTTGTTTAAATATTGAACAAATATTACGATAGATTGTCTATATAACTGATAATTTCTGTTAGGTTTGGCTGATTCCAAGATACAAAATAATGACACAATTCAATAAATCACCTGAATCCGAAGGGGACGATAATTTGTACTGTTGCAGTATAAAAGTAACATCTACTTTGTCTATCAATCAATTCAGCGAAATAAAAATGTTCTCTCACTTTCATACAGGACAGTATTAAAGAAATTAAAAGACTAGCAGGCTTTTTGAATGTGGAAGCGAGTGATGAGTTGGTCACACAAATTAACAGTCTCTGTCAGTTTGACAAAATGAAAAACGAGAAAAACTCTGGAGAAGATCTCTCAGAATGGAGGGATAACAACCCAGGGATGTACAGGAAAGGTAGGAGGTGAATCTAGTAAGAATCACAGAAGTGAAGGTGAAATTATCGCAGAAATGATTAACTCAGATATTGTAGGAAAGAAGAAGATTGATCTATATGGGAAATTGCTGATTTTGAAATTAGAAGAATGTCAGTAATAACAGTTAGCTAACAAAATGGCTATACATGGTAATAATAATTGGTTTGGGACACAATATGGAAATGGGTTCTGATAATAAAGTTTTTTTCTTTAGAATAAGTTTTGGGTGTTTTATAACGAGAGTATCGCTAGAATAATAAAAACATATAGCTTTGAAAGCAAGCATGGAGTGACAGCCCTTCTGAAATTCCAATGGAAGATACTGTAAGTATGGTAGACTCAAGCAAGACAAAGGAAAAAAAGGACAACATAGGCATACATATATGCATCTTTACTGAAACTTTGATAAAAATTTCAAAATACAAAGAAGTTTGGAAAAAAGATTGTAATCACATGCAGAGCGAGAGAGAGAGGTGGATAGATTCAGTCTTTGAGCAGTCTGAAGTGACATGTGAAATTATTGTTATAAGTCGCAATGTTTTGGTATTAGCAATAATTCTTTACAGCATTCATTGGTTTTCTGATGTCCTTGAACAGTTTACAAAAACTTGTAAGAGTGTAACAAATTATGCCATGTACAAAGTCAAATAATGCTTTATACTAATATAATCTTTCCTTTTTTGAAAGGACAAGTTGCAGATTGGAAGAATTGGTTCACTGTTGCCCAGAATGACATGTTTGACTCAATTTACAAGGAGAAAATGAGCAATTCGAAAGTTCAAGTCAGATTCTCTATCTGAATACACTATCTATGCAATTACTTTTTTTATTATTAAGGATGCGTAGCTTTCTAAAGAAACATAAGAAAGCAATTAAAACTGAAAAGAAAACAACGAACAACAACAAAACTACAAAAACAACGAAACGTTAACTTGTACTTTTTTGTTGTTGTAGATGTATGCTGGGTAGTCAGATACCAGTAATTATTGTAACATGTCAAATTAATGACTACATGTATATACTTCTATTAAGCTACAAGTATACGGTGAAGTAGCAGTTACTTATTGTAAGATAGTAATCGTTAAATTAAACACTTATTTAAAATTATTGGCTGAAACTAGGTTTAGTTATGTTTAGATATGATATACTGCAATATAGAAATATACCTTCTTGTATTAAGGTGTAGTACTGTGAGAGAGCTGTAAAGAGGTATTTCTCAGAAATAAACAGAATGTGGAAATAATTGGTAGAATATTCTTTTGTACAATAAACAATCGGTCCAACGTAGCAAGCTGCATTCATGTACAGATATTTCTCATTAGTATAAGAGCATGTTATAATTCAAGTACACATGTACATGTAATTTTATGCAAGTTCGATGTGTTTGAAAGTAGGTTATGCTTATTTACTGTATGCAGCATTTATATACGCTATATAGTTAAGTATCATTTAATAATTCGGAAAGTCATATGTCTTCCTAGTATTTTTATTATGTCACCTTAGTGACTCAAGTCACTTAATAAAACCATAAAAATTCATGGATTCTTCAAAAATATTGTTCTGTACTCTGACATATAGCAAGCGACGTTTGCATGATTATGATAAGCAATTAATCCTATCACAATACTGTAAATTTTCTTTGGATTCATTGTATCATTGAAAGCATTCCTTACTCATGGATATATGTCAGTTGAGCTCTGTGCCAATATGTCTCCAGGATCTAGGATTCATCCCCCTTGGGTGGCACAGGAACTGTTTGTCACGTGAAATATGAAGATAACGAACAGTTAACAAGCTTAAAAATCAAATGGAAAAATACATATTGGGAGCAGAGCAAACAGGGACCTCTGAAAACGTAAGAGGTGGGACTAGGTGCCATGGAAATAATATTGTATTTATTAAATATATCTTTAAAATCTGTACTTCTTCTAGGCATCTAAGATGACCGAGGCTGAGGTCTGTCCAAGTTTTAATGTATCACAATCCTGCTGGGGCTGAGTTAATCATAGCATGAGAAAACTCATGACACTAAGGTGACCCACGGGACTACTGTGATCAGTGAGGGTGTAAATATACTCGGGTGACCTCCATACCCACGGGACTACTGTGATCAGTGAGAGTGAGGATGTAAATATACTCACGTGACCGTCCATACCCACGGGACTATTGTGATCAGTGAGGGTGTAAATATACTCATCTGACCTCCATACCCACAAGACACCTGTGATGAGTGAGAGTAAGGGTGTGAATAAACTCACATGACCGTCCATACCGACGGGACTTTTGTGATGAGTGAGGGTGTAAATATACTCACGTGACTGCCCATACCCACGGGACTACTGTGATCAGTGAGAGTAAGGGTGTAAATATACTCACGTGACCGTCCATATCCACGGGACTACTGTGATCAGTGAGAGTGAGGGTGTAAATATACACACGTGACCGTCCATACCCACGGGACTATTGTGATCAGTGAGGGTGTAAATATACTCACGTGACCGTCCATACCCAGGGGACTACTGTGATGAGTGAGAGTGAGGGTGTAAATATACTCATGACCGTCCATACCCACGAGACTACTGTGATCAGTGAGAGTGAGGGTGTAAATATACTCACGTGACCGTCCATACCCACGGGACTACTGTGATCAGTGAGGGTGTAAATATACTCACGTGACCGACCATACCCACGGGACTACTGTAATCAGTGAGAGTGAGGGTGTAAATATACTCAGGTGACCGTCAATACCCACGGGACTGCTGTGATCAGTGAGAGTGAGGGTGTAAATATTCTCAGGTGACCGAGTGAGAGTGAGGGTGTAAATATACTCAGGTGACCATCAATACCACTGTGATCAGTGAGAGTGTAAATATACTCACGTGACCGTCCATACACATTGGGAACGATTGTGATCAGTGAAAGTGGGGGTGTAAATCAAAGGCGCTTTTGTATTTTATTTGCTTTTCAAAGTGAATTGCGGGACATTCTTTTTTAAATAATCAAACGTATACAATCATTGGAATGTTTATGATGAATCATGAACTTGACTCTTCTAGAGAGGGGAAAAATTAACTGATTAATACAAATCCTATGGGTTAAAAAAGTATTACCTAACTGTCTGTGAAATACATGTATAGAGGGAGAGAGAGATTTGAACAATTTAGAATCTACATTTTCTCAGGAAGCTTTCTTATAAGTTTCATCTTTTCTAGTGTAATGGTTCTTGAGAAGATTTTTTTAAAGATTTTTTCTTATATACTGTACATGTATGTGTATATGTATACTTAAAAAAGCGGGCTTCATATTTTAGCGGCTTTGGCACAGACAACGATGCGCGAATTCATGAATACCGCTAAGAAATCATTTACTAACACAATCCACGGCACGGACATGTGTAGCGTTAATTCATGATTACGCCAACAACTCCATCCCCTTGATTGCGCTAAATTTTGAATTCGCAAATTTATGCACACGTACAGTATTTCCATGTTAAACATTTTTCTCCTATTGTGGCACCACCCTAACCCCGAGGGTAATGATTTGAACAATTTAGAATTTACAATTCTTTAGATAGCTTCCACATAAGTTTCATCTTTTCAGGCCCAGTGGTTCTTATGAAGAGTTTTTAATGACCCACCCTATTATTGCCTTTTCTTGTTTTTCTCCCCTTCGAAGCAGGCTTAAAATTGGTCCTTTATTAGAACAATTTAGAATCCTCTTTATCCAAGGTTGCTTTGTGCCAACTTTGGATAAAAATTTAACATCAGTAATCATATTTATTTGAAAATCTTATATAGATCTAGATTGGGTAGTAGATCGGTTAATCATTTTAACGGGTTTGAAATCAAAAGTAAACAGGAACTAAGATAACGTCATTTGCAAACTGAATGGCCGACATAAAAGAAGGAACAATTGAAAAGTTTTTTATAGCCTATGGTATGTCAACCTCTTAACAAATACATGGGGGTTTTTTGTATCTGAAAAAATATAGATGTTTTTAATTTTAAATTTTCTGTCCAAAGCGCGATGATTTATTTAAGTATGAAAAAGGAGGGACTCTGATCATATGCTTTGTTGTTCCTAATCGCAGCACAGTTAAGGCTGCAGTAAGGAGGCGGGGCCTAATTTTTACGGGAAATGCTTACTATGACGTCACACAAATGTATATGTTCTTCAAATTACCGCAAAATGAAATGATTTGCTATTTTAAACTGTTGGATAGCTTTAGACTACATCAATACTTACTATTGCATGTATTTTTGTCGTTGGTTTAATCCCAAAGAGCAATATATAAACAATTCACTGATGGCAATGCACTTGTCAATGTGACGTCATATCGCAAAATTTGACGCAGTTTGTATGCAGTGAGAGGCGAATCAAGTTATATTTTATACAATGAAAAATGTATTTTGTAAGTAAATAAAATATATTTGCAGATATATAAGAGGCCATTAACTTGGATGCGATGTATATTTTATGATTTTAATCATATACTTTCCGTACATTTCCTAGACAAGCGATACTGCCGTATATTTGTATGCAGATTCATTGATGGGTAACAGAAGGGTCGTAATAAATCGATATATTGCAAGGGCATACCCTCAATGAATTATGACAAGCTTTTACACATAAACTCAAGAGGTATGAAGTTATTTGAAAAGTGCTGCGAACCTGATGAAATCTTGCAAATGAATTAATTATATCTATATTTAATGTACTTGACCAGCAAAATACTCAGTATACGGTCTAACAAACGTGATTTTAGCAGTCATATAGTAGAATCTATATAGGTTCGCAGCACTTTTCACAAACTACACAGAGTGTTGAAAATAATTATAAATTAAACTTAGATTTTCAACGTGGTTATGCCCTTGCAATATTGGAATTTATAGATGACCTCAATACTGCAGGTATATTTGCTAAAATCACGTGACTGCCACATTACGTCACAAGTCTAGGTAAGAAATCAAATCGTCCCCAACATGTAGTTTTCAACCACATTACATTTGTCTGATAATAGTAAAGTCCTAAAAAGAATCGCCCATCCTTGTAAAGAATGTATTTTCTATATAAAAATTCGCCGATATTTCCATTTGTCACCTTAACCCTTTCGACGCCGAATATAGTTACGTCTATTTAAGAAATAATGTATCATTTTTAAACATCTATCGGGATATAAATACGGGTTGGTCACGAGATCAAATTCCATAAAGCCCGAAGGGCTTTATGATAAATTTGATCTCGTACCAACCCGTATTTATATCCGATAGATGTTTAAAAATAATACATTATTACTTATATTTACATTTATGACTTATTCATATTTTATATTTTCCTGATTATAATCTTTAACGCGTGAAATGTTTTATTTTTCAAACTCAACGGCACGTATTTGATCCATTGTTTGCCCGTCGACCCTTTATGACGTCACTGAGAAATTACGTCGAACGTTTATGACGCGAGGAACCTGTGTTTATACGGATATAGATACGCGTTGCTTTCAATAGTGTTATATAAGGGAAAACATTTGCAAATGTAAATATAACGTCATGGATGCCATACTATGACGTCAACTGAGACGTAAAATAATTTGCTTCAGAAAAAAGCGTCAAATTGATAATGAAACAAGCACCTGTTTTAGCAAGGTAATAGGATGTTCATAGTTTTCAAGGAAAATGCGCATAATATAGTTATATATTCATTCCTATAATTTTTAATCGCCATAAAGTAAATTAGCAAATATTTATCCTGTAGCTAGAATACACAAGGAAATTATTTAAATATAACAAAAGAGACGTTTAATCTTTTTCAAATAGTATTTCTACTAAATGTTATAAATGTATGACTGCCGTCACGAGATAAGGGGCCCTTAAATAGCCTGGTTCTTTTTGAATGCAAATATATATATATAACTTTTAAAAATATCTGCTTTTATCAGTATTTTATAAATATTTTAGAAAGGCAGTTCAAAACAACGTTGACGTTACTCACAGTAAACGTACTGATGTCGCGTTCAGCAATTTCAGTTTCTAAACATTCTTAAAATTATTTAATAATCCTAATCGTTTTGACACATAAAAACTTGAGAAAATATTTGATTTCTTTTTCTAAGCTACTAGTATGTAATTATTCCTAACTAAGAAAAGACGCCTTAGTTCATACTTCTAGAGGCAGATCCATTAATTAAGGAGGAAGGGGATCCAGACGTTTAGGATTTGGGAACGGTTTATATTCAGTCGAAAAATATTACAATTTCACACAAAGTATTCTTTTTATTTTTAATAATCTAGCTCAATTAAAAATGGATATAAAGCACTTGAAACATTACACCCCCCCCCCCCCAAAAAAAAATTGCAGATGCCCCATAGAGAAAAAAAGAAATCTAACCCAAACAAGGGGACAGCGCGTAAAGCGGGCCATCCCCTCGCAAAAAAGCAAATCTATCTCGATATAAAAAGTTATTACTTTCAGATAAAAGCACGCATTCACTCCACAACCCACCCACCCATAACCACAAGCGCGTTATTTTTCCCCCTCT